TTGTAATATAGGCTACAATTCACTAAAATTTACTCACCTTTTCTTGGACACAGGAGGTAAATAGATAAGTGGTAGAACTTGCTCTTCTCTTAAACCTATTGCCACAGAGACCTGAAAATGCACAATTTAAAAATAGTTCAATGCAGTGAAAATGAAATTATATTATTAGAATGAGGATAACTCCTTAGTGATAGGTGTTATTAGTTAGAGGGTTTGGGAGAGGGGGGAGGGCAGGGTGAAATTGTACATCCTATACTTGTACTTCTATATACTTCGTTAAACATCTGGATGTGTTGGCAGGAAAAGAACATGTGTAATATGCGGCCTCACATGTGTGAATGGGTAAAAAATGTATAAATAAAAAAATTTAAAAATAAGTAATTTAATAAGTGTGAGTAAGAAAAATTGTTAGATTATCACTCCCACCTGCGTCAAAAATTTGGTAAATATTTATGCGGGAATAACAAAAAAATTATTTTTTTATGCTGGAATTTCAATTTTCCGCAGTGGTGGGTGCGCTAACTCAGCTGGCCAAAAATAAAATCATATTATTAATTATTATATTATATTTTTATTCAAAATCATTATTTCTGGTGAGTAGCGAGTTTGCTAAAAAAAAGGTATAAAACGAAACTCTCGCCGCCTAAGTAAGAATGTATTTCAGGTTTCGCATGGGATAGTTTTAGTGGTACTGAGAGTACTGGACCAAGCTGAGATAATTAGGTACGAGGAGGTCCAGGCCAGACTACGTCTTCTTTTTCGTTGTACAGACTAGGCCTACACTGTACAGCCAACCCAGTGGCTATATCGTATTCTTAACAGTGTCAAGTCAGTGTCAGATTGCCGAGCCGACCGAGACGATCGATTGAGTGTCTAGCCAGCCAGCGAGGGCCTAGGGCGTAGGGCCGCTAGAGGTCTAAATAAAGTATGGCTAAATTGTATGGCCGCTAGGCCTAGATTGGTTAAATTTATAGTAACATATTTTGCGACATTACCTGCTTTGCTACTATTGCTCTTAATCTACTGACTGCCATGCTGCACTGCCTTTTTGTTTCAATTTAAGCCCGGTATTACCGGTGCACAACTCCGAAAACATAATTTCTTGCAAACATTGCTTGACCTTGATTGACCTACCGAGCACGTGTTTTTGTTTTGTGAGGGCGCTACAGTTATTCTGAAAAACCCCGCGAAATTAATAATTGTTGATAACAGTTCGTCGCTAGCGAAAACTCTGACATCATCAGTAAATACACTTTTGTTAATTATTTTGTTGAATGATATAGGCCTACTTATAATTTTCGGTTTTATTATGATTCTAGGTTTAGTTAAGTTATGGTATATCAGTAGCTAAATTCTGATATTATTAATAATAGGCGCCTACCTAGGCTAGTAGGCAGAAGAAAATGCCGGTGCCGAAAATGTCAGTACCGTCGTAGGTAGGCCTAGCTAGGACCAGGTAGTACTAGTTAGGCTAATCTAGGCAGGCATGGAGGCCTAGGCCTAGCCTAGCTAGAGTAGACTACTCTGCTGGCATGACATTTAACTAGGCCTTGGCTAGGCCTAGCTAGGCTAATAGAAAATAGTATATAGTAACTTTAATATTATAGCCTAGGCCTAGAATAGATTGAGAGTCCGGTAAAAACTTTTTTTTTTTTTTTCAAATAGGCCTAGGCTAGTCTACACTGTCTGTGACATTTGGAATTTAAACCTGCCTGCCCAGATTATTGAACCTGTAACACTTAGCCTAACCAATTTAAATCTCGATTGGAAGCAGACTGGCATCACCCGCTGAAGTTTGCCCCTTACGACCGTTTATTAAGAAGATATACTCAGAGCAACACACAAACAAGCCTGGGCTTAAAAAGTCTTGGAACCAAGGTAAACCAAGGCAAGGTAGTTAGGCCTACCTACTACAGCCACAGGACTCTACAGTAGATCTAAAGTAAAGTATCCAAACATCTTAAACAAGCAAAACCTACTAAATAAAGCCAAAAAATTATATGGTCCTACCTAGGCCTAAAAGTAGTTAGGCCTGATTTATTTTTAGCATTATTTTGCAGCAATGAAGCTTGATACTCCAGAAATCTCCTGGCATGGACGTGATCCTGTTTACAGCGTTGATATCCAGAAAATTGGAAAGCATACACGTTTGGCAACTGCGGGTGCAGACAATAAAATACGAGTAATTTTTCATCATTAAATAAACTTTTTATCCAATAAAAAACTTTTCAGTAGTTTTTAGTAGTAAAGCACATGACAAACTCATTATACCTCTGGAGAATGTCTTGTGAGGTATGAATCACTTCAATATATTCATACCTGATTTTTAACATAGGCCTACTTTATAGTACTGTATATTGAAAGAGTTATAACTTAAGCTTTCAACTGAAATTTATATAACAAGAAATATGATTCTGTGTCATTTAACTGATATAACACTATTCATATAGTACTTACATGTTCTTTGTAAATTTCAATTGTATGTCAAAATACCGGTAAGTAAACATTCTGTAAATCATTAAAAAAAAAAACATTTATATTTGGTATCTGACAAAAATTTGATAACCTAATTTTTTTAATCTTTTGAATGGCAATTTTTTTTTTTTTTTTTTTTATAAATCTTCAAAACATGGTTGTTTTGCCTAGTATTTTATTCAGCTTATTATTCTTATAATATTATATTAATATGATTTTTATTATTATTACCATATTAAAAAATTAAATTATTGTTGTTAATAAATAATATTTTTATAATTTGATTGTAGATATGGTATCTGACTGTTGATAGCGATGGAAAGCCCTGGGTGCAATTTGCATCAAACTTGTCACGTCACACGAAGGCAGTGAATGTTGTTAGGTTCTCAACATCTCAACATGTCCTTGCATCTGCTGGTGATGGTGAGTGTATTCAGTTTCTCAATTTATTTCATAAAACCTCCAGAAGAGTGGAAATACCAGTACTGTACTTTAGCAAAACTCACTATGAAAACATCACAAGTGATCTCTCAATCAAGTGCCAATCAAATATAACTGACCAATCAGAACAAGGCCAGACATATATGGGTGTGTCAAACAAGCTTGTGTTTGCGCATGTTTTAACAGTGTCATTTTGTTTGACTCCCCCAGCTTTTGCCCATAAAATTTTGTTTGCTTTATTTTTGTTTGTCTGGTTTATATTTAATGTGGAGAAAAACATGTTATGAAATATGAACTTACGAGAACTGAATTTCTCTATACAGTAATTGCATTTTTAATATATAGAAAAATTTTGATAATATTTTATTCTGTAAAAAAATATGTTAATTGATCAATTTTTCCATATAGGTGAAAAATTGCATTTATTAAAAGACCACAAGAATTACGTTCAGGGTGTTGCCTTTGATCCCCAAAACCAGTTTGTTGCTACATTTAGTTGCGATAGGTAAGTTTAATCCATTTGTTTGAGGGTGGTGAATTTATCTGGGATGTATGAGTGTATTCGTAATAGGTATATCGATGTATGGTAGACTGAAAATGGAAAAAAGAGAGTAGAAGTGTATGGAGCAGCGTGTACAGTAAGGCTTTGGGCTTTCAATTTGAAAGTTATGGTTTCGAGTCCGCTGCTTGTCACAGTGCTTGTGTTCTTGGGCAAGACACTTTCTGTATTGCCTCTCTTCACCCAGGAGTACTAATGGGTACCTGGTAGGAAGCTTATCTCTTCAATCTTTGTTAACTTCTTCATGGTTAATAATTCTCATTTATTAGTTCATCTCTGTAGTTAAATTTCTGTAGTTTAAGTTGTTCCGTAGTTAAGTCTTTTTTCCCCTGAAAAGTCGCACTTCCTTACTTGAGGTAGCGCCGCCAAGTTAGCAGTGCATGAGAGTCATAGGCTTATCCTTGGTGGAAGCTACCAGAGCCCAGCAAACTAACGCCGAGGTACCTGCGTGTACACGGTAGTGATGGCGACACTATCTCAAAATCGGGGGTGCACACTCCCCCCCACCCTTTGCGTTCTTTTGTCTTTGTTTCTTGTGGCTTCAACAGAGCCTTGAGACGGTTTTCTGTGGAAGGCGCTATATAAATATATGACCATTGACCATAGGAGGTGAATGATTCGGAATGAAATTAGTAGTGCTGATTACACGCTTAACTAGGAGTACTCCCCAGGGATTGGAGGAGGTTACATGCTGTGTATGATTCTGTATTCATTGACCAGGGAAAAAGTGCCCTGAGCAGATTTGTGGATATGTGCACTACAGTATATAAATCCTATTAAAAATAATAATATTGTTAATTGATTGATTGATCTGAAACCTTTGCAGATCTTGTAGAATCTACAGCCTTCAATCAAGGCGATGTGTCAATCATGTAACCAGGATGTCAGTCAACACAACAAATAATGAAGGAGAGGTAAGACGTTATTTTGTATATTTTATTATAATATAATGCGCTTTCATGCTGGTTCCTCTTTTGAAAGTGTAATAAACAATAAATCAGGGATGGCTATAAAATTTAGTCAGAGAGCCAAAATAAACCTGAATTTTGACGTTCCCAGTGTGCTTGGCAAAAACTTTTTGCACTGCTTTTTTATAGCTTTATGCAAATTTTTCAATATTTTATTTTATTGATGATTGCCATCAGGCCTTAAAACAAGGAGTTTTAAAGCCAAAGATGGCCTTGTACCTTAAGGTTCATAGAAATTTTTTTGGTTGTTCTTTTTATGTTCCTTTTGATTGCCTTGCTTAGAATTGAATACTCTATACAAGCATTATTTACATAACACACATAGGGCGAAGGATTATTATACAGTGAATTTAATGGATTATTCAACATGTTTAACTTACAGGCCCAAACAAAACAGATTAGAATGTTTCACGATGACGACAGTTTGAAGTCGTTTTTCCGTCGCCTAACCTTTAGCCCTGATGGTGAGTTCCTGATCGTACCGTGCGGCGTCTATGAAGTGGGGGATAGTACATCGAATACAACATTCCTTTTCTCAAGACTATCACTGAGCAAGTTAGTATTCAATGAAGTTGGAAGTGTTTCTTGTTGTCCAAGAGGGTTTGATGGTTGAGCTAGTCAATGTCATATCCCATTTATGTATTAGGGTTTTTAAATAGCAACAAATTAACTCTACTTGCTAGCTTGTCAAGTCATACATATGATAATAGAAAGCTTGCGATTCGTGACGACGTAGAATGTAGTGACGTCATGTTAATTTTATGTCTGAACTGTACGTTGTGCGTTACTTTGTCTCCTGAAATCTGGAAGGGTTGTCGGCTGAATCTACATTCAGGCCAGTATGTGGACTGTACTCTATTAAACATCGGTGTTTGTGACATCTTCGCATACGTGTCATAAAACATAAAAATTGATTTGAAGTAGAAAGTACAATGTACGCGATGACAGGCATGGATGAGTGAATTCGCTCTACATTCCCATTTTCAGTCGGAAGCTTTTTAATGTTTGAATAGACTTGGTCTGGTGAAGTACAGTTGAGAGGTCAAAGGACATAGAAATTCACCTGATTTATTTGATCAGATATATCTGAGACAAGGGTACTGTACACTTTCATAAAAAGTCTGATCAGACATTGTTGAATTTGTAAGACAAAAATCTAATTTGAATTTAAAAACACATTTACTTCATCTAAGTTTAATCAAACATCTGTTGGAATCCAGTAAAAGTCTGATAGTTTAAAACGTAAGTGGTTAGGTCGTAGTTAGTTTTATGACTAATTCAAACTTGTTAAAGAGGTAGAGAATATCTAGCGAAGGTGATCACTCAGGCAGAACATTTTCATGATTGCTGTCTTACTCAGCTATTAGTTCACAAATATCGAATGCTATAAGAAACATGGTAAAATGTATAGCGCATGGTGATATAGAGACTACTATGGTACAACTTTCATCCAGAACATCATCGAGGAGCTTATAACAATCTTTATTAGTATTTTCTCTTAACTTAGGTTCCTTAATAAATATAGTAAATTACCAATTAGTAATAATATTTTTATTGCTAGGAACAAGTGTTTTATCAGTTGTAGAAAGTAACTCTACTATACCCATTTGACACTTTTTCATAAAATTAAAAACCTTGTCTGATAGACTTTCAGCCAATCAGAAAGCACTATTTTGTTAGGAGACATTTAGAGGCCTGTGTGGGATTAGTTCAGAACTTTCAACCGATTAGATGCTCTAAATATGTGTTATATAAGTATTATCAATAGTAATAATGATAATTAATATTATTATAATTATTATATTAGTATCATTAATATTCTCTGGCTTACAAAAAGAAATTAATTAATTTTTTTTTTCCTTAGACCGTTACTTCACTACCCTGGACCTGCAAAACCCACTGTAGCTGTGCGATGCTGCCCTGTGCTATTTGAGCTGAGGAGCAAACAGCCTGAAACCACGGAAACAATAAAAAATGATGAAGAGGAGGTAAATCAGAAAAAAGATGAAGATACAGAGAAGATGGATCAAACTAAAGAAGATCAAAAGAACAATGGAATGGAAGCAGACGTCAAATCAGAAGAAGTAAAAAGTGAAAACAATGACAAGAAAAGCACAACTAGGTCATTGTTCAAGTAAGCAAACATAGTTAAATTAATTTAATTATACATTTACTGGTAGTTTTTGAAGTTCTGACCAGAGTTTGTTACAAACAAATGTGATATATCCATATTTGAGCGTAATATGATATCATGCCCATATATGGTCACATCACACAAATTAGTCACATAAATATGATAGTGTATACTGAGTTTAATAGATTTAAGTGTAAAAATAATTAAATCATTCAGTCTATGTGCTACATCTAAATAGCTCAAAATACATGTTTCTAAAGTCATGTCCACACTGTTATTTCACAATGCTCCTGTTTCTATACCTTAGCCTACCTTATCGGATGGTGTTTGCTGTGGCGTCGGAGGACTCCATCATGCTGTACGACACGGAGCAGGTGACACCATTTGCCATGATATCCAAGATCCATTATCAGCAGATAAATGACCTAGCATGGTAAGTAAAAATCGTGGGTTCTTTTTCACATACAGTTTCCTATATGAAGCCTTCCTATATGAAGCCCTGTCCAGGCTTTAAAATTTTATTTGACAAAAAAGATGACATGCCTAAGTGTGGTGTAATAGTGACGGAAGTGCTCTGTGGTATTGCGCATTCTCCACTTGTCCCTCGCTTCTACTGGACTTAAAGCTGCTGTAGGACATTTTTTGGGTAAAGCGGCTTTGCTACAGTGATTTGGTTCACTTTGGTTGACCCTTGTCTCCCCAAATTTCAGCTTTTTTGTCGCTCTCTTTTTGTTTTTGTTGTTAAAAGACCAAATAAATAATGAAATGAATGAATGAAATTAATTGTAATCATGTTAATAACAATTATAATCATTGTTCCGATCTTTTTTGTCGCTCTCTTTTTGTTCTTGTTGTTAAAAGACCAAATAAATAATGAAATGAATGAATGAATTTAATTGCAATAATATTAATAACAATTATAATCATTGTTTCGATCTTTTTTGTCACTCTCTTTCTGTTCTTGTTGTTTAAAGACCAAATAAATAATGAAATGAATGAATGAATTTAATTGTAATAATATTAATAACAATTATAATCATTGTTTCGATCTTTTTTGTCACTCTCTTTCTGTTCTTGTTGTTTAAAGACCAAATAAATAATGAAATGAATGAATGAATTTAATTGTAATCATCTTAATAACAATTATAATCATTGTTTTGATCTTGTTCTCGTAATATTTTTATAAACAATTCACCCAAGACCTTTTTATAGTTTGAAACGTGTTTCAATATCTCAATTTTCGTCCTTGTGCCACTTTGAATTTTATGTCTGTACAGATTGTTGATTATTGATCGAATAAATGAAATGAATTGAAATTGAATTGAATTGAATTGAAATTTGGTGTTCAATGTGTTCCATATGTGCTTGATCCACTGACCGGAGTAGTAATGTGAAGCGCTTAGAGGCTTTGTAAAGGCGTGAAGCGCTATATAGGAACGACATATTATTATTATTATTTGAAAGAAATTGTAGATGTGTGAAAGCTCATGTGCTCTTTACATCGGCGGATCCAGGGAGAATGGTATCTAGAGCCTCTCCCCCCAACCCAAGAATATAAGAAAAAAGAAAGAGGGAGAATGCATGGTACCCTACCCAGATTGTTCTCTGAAAGCAAATATAAACCAACCAATCATATTAAAATCAAAGTTTATAACTAGTCAATTAAAAATGAGGTAATTAAAAATGAGGTGCATCTTGCATTCCTATTCATTGTGTTTTCATTGTGCCATAGCTTCTCTTATGGTCAGTATTTGATATGAATGTTAATCAAAATATGAAATAAATTTATTGGATTTCTGTTTGTTTTTATTTGATTAGGTCTTCAGATGGGCAGTACCTTTCAGTTTGTTCAACTGATGGTTATTGTACGATTGTCGTATTTGAACCAGGGGAGCTTGGAGTACCATACAAGAAGAAAGAAGCCCCTCAGTCATTGGATGAAAATATGAAATGTGATGACATCATTGCACCAGCAACCAATGGTGAATCAATTTTAATCCAAACAACAAATAAGAAATCATCTCCAGTGCATAGTCCTTTATCTAGTGATGTCAAGAAACCAGAGTTAACCAATCAAAACAGCTCTAATGGTGAGCGTAGGCGAGTTACCTTGACAACACTTGTATCAAAAAGTGTTGCAAACAGTGACACCACAAGGTAAATATAAACCTGTTTATCAGTTCGCCTCCTGAGCTCTGATTGGTTTCACTTCTTTTTAGCTTCGCAAAACGTTTTCGATTCACGCGAATAAGTTCGCCTAGTAGAAAACAGCATTTAGACTCCATCAGGGACAGTCGCGTCATAAAATATTAAACACGTTTAATATTCTCACAATGACTTAAGACTGTTCCCAATGATAAATTGCATTGGGCTGCGTCCTACGATGCTGTCTGAGATGGGAGCATTAACCGTTAGCAAAATGAACAGCTGATGATGACATAAGCATTTATATTTTATTACACTAATCAATTCTCAATTCTTTTAATTCAGTTCCAATCAGCAGCCGCAGAAGAGAAGAATTCCCCTCACGGCGGTGTCGTCCCCTCCCGCAAGCAGCAATGACAAAGGTACAGTAGTCATAATTAGTAGTAGCCTGATAGAAACAATGTACCAATTGTTTTATATGTGTAAAACAAGTAAGATTTCCATTTCCAAAGTCTCCCAAGCATATTCCAGCCTATTTAATGATTTAAGTAATTTTGTGTTTTAAATTAGTAGCATGCCATTCAAGGGAAAAGTCCCCCTCCTAAATTTTTTAAAATTATAAATAAAAAATGGAGAAAAAAAGAAAATTATATTCAAATTTAAATCTGGGAGTGCCATTTCTGGCCATCTAGAGATGCCATTATCATAAATTTTCTTTACGCAGACCCAACCATATTGGAGCTGAGGTGGTGTAAACCCTACATATGTGAAGTCTCTCCCTGGGCACTTCTATTTTGAATTTCTAGATCCACCACTGTAAATGGTAGTTGACTGGTTGCAGTTTTTGTTAAGACTACTTTTTGACCTGGAATAAATCAATAGCAAGTAAATTGGATTTACAAAAATTTCTTTTATATTTTTTTATTTAAAGGATAAATTTTGTTTTTTGGTTAAAAAGAAAACAAAATAAAGCTTTTTTGTTATCCTTTTTTCCAATCATAGCTGCAAACAAATCTGAGAAGCCACAACCAAGGAGGATACAGTTAGCATCAGTTCCAAGTACCTCATCTACCCTAGCTGCAGGCAGCGGTAGTAGTGTCGAACCTAGCAGCAGTAATGGTAGCTGCAGCTTGCCTACTCAAGCTAGCCCTCAGGAAACATCAAATAAACCAAATGACCCTGATAAAGTTAATACGAATGAAGGTGCTAAAGAAAGTGATGTAAAAACTAACCCCGACCAGCAGATGTCTACAAAAACCCCGCGGAGAGTATCGTTGTTAACCTTGTCTTAAGTCATACCATAACCACCATTTGTATAAAACTATGGAAACAACGCAAGTGTACATAGCATTATAATTTATTGCATTATTAATATGGAAACAATAAACATTTGATAACTTGTACAAAATAATACATCTCTATACCAAAATGATATTTTGGAAACCCTGCTATTTTGATTACTCTTGCAGTGATTGATTAATTGTTACATTAATTTTGTACAAGAGCACCACCATTGAATGACGTAAACTGTCAAATCTCAAAAAGAAAACCATATTGTAAAAAAAGGTTCACTTCGCTAGCTGCTGTTTCTGCAGAATTTAAGTTTAATAGCCTGGAACACAACTACTCAAATTGAGTACCAAGAAGATTCTATTTAATACCCTTTATACTTTATTTATGATACATTACTAAAGTAACCCAGCTTGTTCCACTACTCTAATATCAAACCCAGTGGGGCTATTGGATTACCAAGTTATAGAGAAAAGGGAACTTTTAAACAAATTTGCTGATGAATAGCAATTATAAAATAATGTGATGACTAGGTTTTTTTTTTTAAAGATGATATAAAAGCTGCAATGCTTATGCAAAAGTAAGAATTTCTGTGGTGAATTCAGGGGGACCCCACCCCCCCCCCAACACTCTTAAAATACACTTATTAAAAACAAAATGAATAAAATATGAAGATTATTCAAATTTAAGTTTGAGGGTGCCATTGACAGGCATCTAGAGGTGCTATAATCTTATTTTTTTATTTTTACTTCCATCCCAATCATGTTTGGGATGATGTGGTCTAGATCATCATCTATGAAAGAAGTCCCTCTGTGGGCCCCCTCGATTTTACATTTCTGGATCCACCACTGAATAACAACCACATTATGTAATTACTTTAGAGTTTATAAATAAAAATGTCAACAATTGATAATTTGTACAGTTAATTGGCGTGAATTTTCGACATGCGACGTGTTGGTCGGTGATTAACGTTTGACCCAGTACTCTACCGTATTAGTTAACCATAGTCTGATTGCAACACTACCCCAAAATTAAGCAAAGTATATAACATTGAATCAGAGGTTTTGCAGTTAATTTAAGTGCGTCAGTTGGTCATGTGACCACCATTTGACCAACACGTAACATCATATCCTATATTATTTTTAAGGAAGACTAGTATAGCAACGATGTGTATAGTCAGTCCTATGCATATTATTAAACTCCTGCACCTATTTGGAAGACATGTATTAATAGCAATGAACAAAATATGTATGGACCAGGTCTTAAGTCTGGTTTTAATAAAAAAAAAAAAACATTTTCACTTGCATTTTTATATTTTAACAATTAGAAACAACATAATAGTTTTTACTGATAATAAAAATTATGGAATACAAATATTATGTGTATTATGTTTATTATTTACACATATACAAAAGTCCAAAGGAATTTACTTAAATTTCTATTATTGCATGAGCACCATATTTACAAAGGTCATGTATATAATGTTATATACTGTACATAAATACTAGCAGCAGCCATGGGATGGTAAAAAAATTATATCTAAATGCTAATATAATGTGTTCAGGTACCGAACGTCATCAGGAGATACTAAAGGCATGGCAGGCTTCCACGAACTTAGGTCATGGACCATGGCCACGTCATCTTGAAGTCTGCGTTGTCTTTCCTTCACAACATAAGGCTCTCTAAATAGAAATAAAATAGTGACTTGTTGATAGTAAGAAGAAAGTAACTGTGTGGTTGAAAATACACTACTTCCAACTTCTATTCAGAAGACAGCCTTATTAAGAGGACATTTTTTTTGCTCCAAAGGTGTCCCCACAATAGGGGTTCTACTGTAATCTTGATTTTATACATGATGGAAGTATATTTCATATAAGATCATGAAAAAACAGTATTTTATACAATGTCTGGGCGTAGGATGCACCTCCCCCCCCCCCCATGGTAGCAAATTAGTTCCATTAAGTGAGTTAAAAAGACTAAGAATGACCATTAAGTTTTCATTGGAATAGGGATTTTGTTTTGCATTCTCGATTTTCGTACCCCTCAGTTTCGTATTCTCAATTTTTGCACCCCTGAAAAAACCAGCCTATGCTTCTGCAATGTATGTCGGGCATCCAAAGTTTAAGCCATACACGACGAAGACAGAAAATAAACTTTAAAGTTTCCTATACATAGCCACCAAAAGTTTTAATGTAATACTGAGAAGAATGTAGTTTTACTGTACCTTGTGATTTCTGGCAATTTTTGAAGAGGAACGAATGTGTCTGGTTTCTTTGTAGGTGGCCCACTATTAACATAAAAGTAAAGTCAATCACAATTTGAAATAAAAAAGATATTGACAGAGTTTTTGTTTTCGTAACAAATAAACCTGGACATGTTGCAATAATTGGACAATCCTTGGACACCTAAAATGTTTGTCATCTCCGGCGTCACGACTCTCCAACAGGGCTTTTTCCCTGGACCTCACTGACATTTGTTGGGAACTGTCAGCCACCCTGTTGGATAGCTTAGTGTTGCCCTCGAAAATTCCTAAAGGTGCTGCTGCTAAACAAATATGCCTCTCACATAATAATTGTTAAAAAAATAATGCCTGTAAACTCACCCAAAGTTGACAATAGGCCTGCATGATCCCCTCTTGTGAAAGTTAGGAGAGTACTCAACTACCTGGTAGTTTTTATCCCCAGGGGATGCATATGGAAATTCCCTTTTCTGCCATATTGAATTGTCTATGGAACAAACAACAAAATCAGTAAATCTGATAGAAGACATTTAAATATACTTCAAGGTACCTCTAAAAGGTAGTAGATTTTAGATTTTGAAATCAGGAGTGTGCAGGGGCAGATCCACAGATGTCCGAAAGGTGGAGGTGGGGGCGAAAGAAGGACCAAAAGGGGGTCGAAACATTACTCTAGGGGGTCCAAAATTTTTTTTTTGACACCCGAAAATAACCTCTGAGGCATTTTGGACGATCAATTATTTTTTTTTTTTTTTTTTTTTTTTACTTTCCCAAAGGGGAGACCAGAGCCGGTCTTCCCCCCCCCCCCAAATCCATCCCTGAGCAAAGCTATGGCTTGGAAAATCTAACAGTAATCAGAATATTCATACAGTCAAACCAAAGATTGGGGTGGAGTCGGGGAAGCATACCATGTGTTCCTGGATCTGCTACCGACATTATAAGACACTTTTAAGAAAGTCACATGCATTAGTCTCAGAACCGTTACTTGGTTTTAAAAGACCATGAAAATTAATTAATATGGAGGACTCATATTGATCACAATGAATTTACAGGACTACTTACATTTCCGCCTTTTACCATATAACATTGAATGAGTTATTTCATTGGCTGATGTTAAGTTGTTTATATGCTGAATTTCTCCACTGCTGCCTGTAAAGAAACACTTCTTCCCTACTGTGTTGTCAGGATAGTAGGTCCACTCTCCATATGTTTGTCTTGTCATGTCTAAAAATAAACAAGAATGTGGGAGTAAACATTTAGAATAATAAACACATGGATACTGTATACTATATTGCAAAGCATTTTGTAACAGAGGGTTGTCTCATGGTGGCCAGGGGCAGATTTCGGGAGAGCTGGGCTGGCCCGACCCCCCTCCCCTTTTTTTTTGGAAGGTAAAAATGAAAGAAAATAACAAATAAAAACATAATCGCCCAAAACGCCTCAGAGGCATTTTGGAACACGGGTTTCACGGTCTTTATCAGCTTTGTTCTTCAATTAGAAAAAAATTAATCTTATAAAAATAAAAGATCTGACAGCCACTCGGGGGTCGTAGAAAGATGGTTCTTAATTGGATGTGGTCTTCAATTGGGGCCTGGGTATTTCATTAGAGTGAGGCCTGTAATTAACTTACCTGGGAATGACCTTTGTCCTATTGGAAGGCATTGTGGATGTTTAGCCTCCGGGTCTGATGGATGTGGTATATAGCTAATTCTCGATTCCCAGTCTGGTCCATTGCTGAAATTAGTTTGAAAAAATGGTATGTATTATAGTACTGTAATGTAATGCTTTAAAATAATCTTTAAAAGGTTTATTCCACAGTGATAAGTAGTTTGAGAAATATTTTATGTGCATAATATACATGAACAATAAAATTTGATATTTCAATTTTTTATTATATATTTAAATAAGTTTTTAAGCTAGTATAGGAAATACTTTCTTGAATAGGCCTATTAAAAAAAAAAAATTATAAGTAAATATCTAATTAGCAAAATACAGTAATACCATTCTTATATATTTCATCTCCTTGTTAACCATGAAAAAGTAACTTACTTATATACTGATGTTATATAAAAACTGATAAAATTCTGATTTTTTTTTTCTCTTAATAATCTGTGTTTTATGTAAAGTTGTAAGACTATATTTTTATCATCAATGTATTGCCTGGAAGTTTATCTTTAAATAATATTAAGTCTGTATTACTTACTAAAACTAAACTGATTTGTGTCTTTGACTCTTGTTGGGAGTTGATGACTTACTCAATTCTTTGATTTTAATGTTGGTCACTTTTATTTTATATATTTAGGCCTAGGCTAAGTGTTGATTTTTTTCATGTAGGCCCCTAATTGTCTACACTATCAAATTTGATATGACAAAAAAAATGTGATGTGTCCATATAGGGCCTATGAGCATGATGATGTCATATCACATAGGCCTATTATCAAATTGTATCAAAAAAAGTTGAACATGTTCAACTCTATATTCCATCAAATTTTATGTGATGCTTTTTTATGATGAAATTTGATAGTGTAGACAAAGCTTAATATTTTTTAAAGATGTCCAGGCTCTCATCCAGCTGATTATTATTAATCAGTTGATTATTATTAATCAGTTGATTTATTAGTTAATTAGTATTATTAATTAATTAGTTTATTAGTTTTATTTTATTTTAATCAGTTGATTTATTAGTTTATTTATTAGTTTATTTATTAGTGGTTCAGGCTCTCATCCAGCTGATTATTATTAATCAGTTAATCAGTTGATTATTATTAATCAGTTGGTTTATTATTGGCTTTGTCTAGGACAGTTTATAGGGATGGGTATAGGGATACACTTTCATAAATAAATAAATTTAGATTAAGAAATTATATATTTTGATTGATTTTTCTTAACTTTAAAACACAGTACAGTTTAACTCATAGGCCTAAATATTATATGCATGACTTATCAACAATGTGTAGCCTAATATTACTATATAAAGAAGGCTAAAACAGAGAATTTTGTCTGATTTAAGGGCAAATAGAAAAAATTTATTAAATTATCACTCCCGTCTGCGTCAAAAATTCGGGAGATAGGCCTATTGATGCGGGAATAAAAAATAAAAAAATTTCCGCATCAATTATTTCAACAGCATAAAAATTACAATACAATTTTGTGACTTCAAATACAATTTCTTTAAGAAAATATAAAATTAAACAAATTTTTATACAATATTTACTAATTACAGACCAAATATAAACAGCCCCTCCCTTATCAATAAAAACAAAAGCGAAATAATCTATTGTTCGTATAAAAAAAAAAAAAAAAAAACCCTCCCTCATCAATTTAAAAAAAAAAAGAGTGATAATCTAATGTTAATAATTTTTTCTATATGCCCTAAATATTCATAAATGAATGAACCACCTGGAATACTTGACTTCTATAGACTTTCCATGTGGTTTCCAATCTGGCTGAGTTCCGTAACCGGGATGAATATAAACACGTCCACTTGGTTTAATCTTTGTTTTGCCTTTTTCCTCTTGAAAATGTCGCCTTTCTCTTTCTAAAGAACCAAGAAAAAGAAGTAAAGATAAGGTTAATATTTATTTCCAGTAATACTAATACTAATAAGCCTATTTCTATTATTAGACCGTATGTAAAAGTCAAGTTCAAGTGTTTTTGTCAAGTTTTGTGTTTTTAATTAGGGATTAAAACCACAGGAAACCCTATTAAATGTTGAGGTGAGGGGGTGATAAACTAATAAATATTTCGATGGGGCCTTACCAATATCCTGGACTAGATAGATGGAGTGTTACTAAGCACTGTACTGTTACCAGTACTGTATTTTTACACCTCCCTGCTGTTACTGTCAGTCTTTTTAAGTATCGCTGTACCGTTTACGTACGTACAACTTACCTTTTAGTTTATAGATGTATTTACACTTCAAAAATGTTGCTTACCTTTCTTTCCAGGAACCCCAACTTCTGTTATAATATGTTGAGCCATTCAACTACTCAATTCGTAGTATACTCTCTTCACTTGTGGAAATGTTTATACCTTTGTTACTTCTAATACATGTTTAGTACTTAGTTTTTCGAGTTTGTTCTCATTCATGCTTTGATAATATGCTTTATGTTACCTAGCAACGCTTGGCTCGTTCATAGCTATACAATTTTCATTACTCTAAATTTCTTATATGAATGTTTAATTACTACATTTGCTATATTAAAACGTTTAATCCTCAATGATAAATTATTAAATACGTTTCATTTTAATAAAATGTTTTATAAAAAAAATAATGATATTATAACCTGAACATTTGGACAATACTTCCACAACATCGATCATCAACAACAAAGTTTCCTGTAACAGTGTAGCTCTGTGAATGGGAGAGTCGCGTGTCGTTTCACTTCATACCTCCCTGCAATATGTAAGGAATATTTACAAATATTACTAATGTATCTGAGTTCAGTATGTTTTCTTTCAGTTATATAGGCCCACGTAGTGTAGTAAGCAGCCCCGGCTAGTGTAAAATGGCTAGACTGAGGGCCCTCCTGCGTGCGGTCACCCATCAGGCCGGATGCGATCCATTCCTGGCAGGCTAGCTAGGCACAGGCCTGGCTTAGTAAATAGGCCTAGATAGTAGAATAACTAAACATATATTTTGTAAATAAATGTCTAAAACACCGTGACTTACTGTGTTACATGAATTCCTCCTTTGTCAGCTTACTATTCTATTTGGTAAGAACCACCAAAGATTAGAAGTAAGGAAGATTGTCAGTGACAGTGTTGTTGATATTGATTGATTATTAATATTATTAGTTAATTAGCAAGTATTATCATTGAAAAGTGCCTAGGCCTATTTTGTTTTTAAGAAAAAAAATACTATATAGTATTATGCTGAATAATGAGGAATCTGAATAATGAGGAACTCTCAGCTTCATTTGTGATGATCTATCACATTTAACTAACACATGATAAATTTAGGGCAAATAGAAAAATTTATTTTAGAATAGATTATCACTCCCGCCCGGGAAATATTGATGCGGGAGTAAAAGCAAAACATTTTTTTTTTTTGCCATATCAATTATTTCAACAGCATAAAATAACAATGCAATTTTGTGACTTCAAATACATTTTCTTTAAAAAACTATAATATTAAACCAGTTTTTATACAAAGTCAATATTTACAGGCCCGGGTACAGGCCAAAATATAAACAGTCCCTCATCGATAAGAACAAAAGCGAAATAATTTATTGTAGCGATTAAAAAAAAAACAAAAAAAAATATAATTTTGATGTTGTTTAAGGTGATTGTGATATTTTTGTGATAGTGGTTAATTGCCCTCAATCGCTCAAGTAGCAATGCATAATTGAATTTTGAATCTTGATCCTCTTGAATATTAGGCCTATAACCTACCAACTACAAATTGCAGTTTCTAATTTTACGGTTATTGCTGATGTTTGTTTTTTTTTTCCCCAGAGATTATGGTGCGCCTGTTGATTAAGAAAGCTGATGAAACCCAATTCCTGTTTGAGACAACCGTGACTGTTCTAGTACAAGACCTTCTCAAGGAATTGACAGAAATTTATAATGCTAGACTTAAAGTTGATAGGATATGCACAGGTAAATATCTCAAGAGCATCAAGTTTATTCCACAGGTGTTATAATATTTAAATCAAGACTATCCAGGGATGGGGGGGGGGTGGTGGGGCAGGGAAACACATGCCTTTTCTGAGTCTGTTTGTGGTGGATTTAAAGAGGGTGGGTTCATTTATTTAAATAGATACGGTATTTGATTCTTCTTTATCAATTATAGTGTTCATAATCATAATTATACTGTGTCTGCAAAAATTGATGTTGACTTTGTACCCTGTACATGGCTGCATACCTATTAAATTTTTAAAATTTGCAGTTTTCCATGAGAAATATATCTGAGGAGACCTAAACAATTTTGAGTAAGGCACACCAATAAAGATATTAGGGAGGTTTTGGAAGCTCACAAAAACGATCATTAGGCCGACCAGCCCTCCACAAACTAACGTTAGAATACCGCACTTTCGGCGGTAAAGAACAATTAAAACTTCATAAAAAAGGCAACTAATCCGTTTACCTATAATTGAATCCAAGGACACCAGTGTTAAACACTCAGTACTTATCCTTGATAATGTGTTAATCCAATTAATATAGTGAGATAACGTAACATTAGTTTATCGAGGGCGAGTTGAGCTAATGATAACCAATATAGCTACGTCATCCCCTAATGTAACATATCTGTCAAAATGTAGTCCATCCATGCCTTTTACACGAAT